AATGAACTGGGAGATGTGCTTTCCAAGTTCCAAAGTTGACATGGTGACACTAGCAGGGTGATGTTTTCACTTCGAGGTGCCCTAACTGTATACTCGACACACTTGGAAGAATAAATATTGATTTGCTCCATGAGGATGTGCGCCATGTGAAATGTTAATGCTTTTAAACGACTTTGGACATACAAAGTAGCTATTATTATTACTATTATTATAAGGTATAAAATCATAGCGGGTGTTTCATCTTTAGCCTTTATCCTCATGATTAGAGCACATATATTGGGCGCCTACTGCACTCTCAACCACCACTCATGTGACTGGACACTGTGACGATGTTCTTAGGATGAAGACATTAATTTTGGAACCTCCCAACAAAGAAGGTGAGGATTATTCATAACAATCATGTGCATACACATTGCTTCGTAATGAATGTTTACTCCCTCCCAGAACCTCTCTTATTATTGTGTTGGAGATTTTCTGCTTGCCTTTCCAGGGTGATTCCTACCCTTGTACAGAGAAAAAAATGTTTTAAATTGCCATTGAAAATAATAATTAACTAGGAAAGTTTGGAGCCCTAGTGGGGTTAATATCTGATCTTTGGTTTGGCAAAATAATCTCTAGGGGAGTTTGAGTACTAAAAGTGAGTTTCCCGCATACCATGATGTGTTGTGGGAGAGAGTCATAGTTAAACTGCTCTGAATAAGACGAGCTGAAATCTGCAGTGAAGCTTGGGGGAAACAGGAGTGCAGCAAGATGGCAGGAACAAGACTTCCACATGGAGTAATGACCAGTGCCCATGGCTAAGTGACACAGTTAACAATACAGATATCTAGTGTCCAATGATAGATCACTTGCTAGCTGGTGTTTTGATGATAAAGCATCCCCTTCCCATTGTATGTATGCTTTTGGAAACTTTAAAAAACAGATTTAAGATGTTACATACAATCACTGATAAATATTTAAAGTGTAAAATTTAATGACTTTTGACATCCGCATGCATCTTAAAACCATCATTACAGTCAAGACAGGAAGCATTTCTATCATAACCCACACACAGTTTCCTCATGCCCATTGTCATCCATCTCTCTCTTTCACTAGGCATTCTCTGACCTGTTTTCTCTTACTACAGATCAGCTTGACTTCTCGAATTTCATATAAACAGAATTCCTCGGTTTGCACTTCTTTTTGTCAGACTTTCGCACGTCATGAGTATTTTGAAATTCATTTAGATTGTTGTGTATATAAACAAATGTGGGTTTTTTGCTTAGTAATATTCAGTTGCATGAAGATACCTTAATCCATTTTATCCATCCACCTACTGAAGGACATTTGTGTTGTTTTCAGTTGTAGGTTAGTGCAGATAAAGTTGCTATGAAAATGTGTGTGCAAATCTTTGTGTGGATATTTCTCTTGGATTAAACGATAGGAATAAAATGTTAACTTGCGTGATAGGTATGTACCCACCCCCATGTTTTCTTATTTTTGACACACTAATGAAAATCTGATACACACACATTCTGTTGTTGGTAGCATTAAGAATAAAGACATTGGAATCATGTCTCAGGAAGCCAGCTGAAGATACAAGAATATCTGAGAAGAGTGTGGAAAAGCACTTGCAATGAGTGACTTGAGTTGGGTATGAGACAATTCTACCTTCTCAAGTATTCTAGGCACTTAAAGAGGAGCCTGGACTGGCACATTCCTTTATTTATTAAGCTCTTCTTTCAATTAATGTTTATTGAACAACTACTATGTGTCAGGGGAATGGAAATACAAAAGTGAATGGTACTAATATACCCCCAGATAAAAAATAAAAGTGGAAAAATAAAATTTAAAAGATCTAGTGCTTAGTAGAGCTTAGAGTCATAATTATAGAATACATATGTATCTATGTTGCAGAAATTCGAAAAATTATATGGATTCTTTGTGACCTACCCACGGATTAACTTTTCTGTTTTCTCCTTCACTTCTTCCTTGCTTCCTTTGTTTCAGGAAAATTAATTTCTTTATTGGCTTTTCAATTTTGCTTAGGTTATCATGTGGCATACCTCCTCTTCTCCCTACCTCGTCAAATCTTGCCAGCAACTTTTTAAACCCTGCCTTGGACATCCTCAGCCTAAAGAAACCTTACGGTTTTCTGATTTATTTGGACCGGAGTGCAGACTGGACATTATAATATGTAACAACTGTGAAGATGGATTCTAATGTGTAGCCAGGGTTGAGTATCTCTGTCCCAAAGTGATTTTATTGGTTTTCTATGATTGCACTGCTCTGCAAAATTTCTCTGTATTCTCTGTACCTCTGTGTTTACTTCTATCCCCTAACCAAGGAGAAGGGGCCCTACTTCCTTTAAAGTAGAACCTTCACATCAACTTGGATGGACTTAGAGTCTATAATATCGAGTGATCGGCTCGGCACGGTGGCTCCTGCCTATAATCTCAGCACTTGGGGAGGCCGAGGTGAGAGAATTGTCTGAGCCCATGGGTTTGAGACCAGCCTGGGCAACATGATGAGGCCACATCTCTACAATAAATAAAAAAGAATTAGCCAGGCATGGTGGTGCATGCCGGTAGTTCCAGCTACTTGGAAGGCTGAGGTGGAAGGATCACCTGAGCCCCTGCAGGTCAAGGCTGTGTTGTTGGTGAGCGTGCCATCACACTCCAGCCTGGAAAACAGTGAGACTCCAACTCAAAAAACCCCCCCAAACAAAAACAAATACTGAGAGATCTATCACAGAAACAAAGAACTGAGTGCCACATGTTCTCACTCATAAGCGAACCTTGAACAATTATCATAATATTATAAGAAAGGGATTGGCAGTAGTGGGAAACTACAGGGGTTTGTGGGGGGGAAGGTGGGATTGGCAGTAGCGGGAATCTGCCAGCGGTGAAGGGCACACCTCATCAACAAGGGTACTTGCATAATGAACATTTGCATCTCTCATCCTGAATTGTACCCCACATCTGCAAAATAAAATTTTAAAAAGGTGAGCCTTCTCATCAGCTGACATCCTTCTCTTTCACTATACACAAAAGATGTGTCTTTATCAACCATCATCTTATTTCCTTGAATTTTCGGTCTTAATCTACTGACTCCTTTTACTAGATGCGTGTTTAGGTGTGCCAACACCTATAAATCCTTCTTGCACAATTTTTCCACCATAGAATTCTTTTGGGTATTCCTTAACATATACTATTTCATCTTCCACTCACTCCTTAATCCATTACAACGGATCTCTTAAAGCTCTTGCAATAATATGTGCTAGGTACTTAATAAATAATCGTTGAATGAATGGATAAACACACGAATGCATGACTTTTTTTTTTTTTTTGAGTCGGAGTCTCACTCTGACACCCAGGCTTGAGTGTAGTGGCACTATCATGGCTTACCATAGCCTCAATCTCCTGGGCTCAAGTGATCCTTCCACCTCAGAATCCTGAGTAGCTGAGACTGCAGGTGCTTGCTACCATGCCTGGATAATTGATAATTTTTTTTTTTTTTTTTGTAGAGATGAGGTCTCTGTCTGTTGTTCAGAATGATTTCTCTCTAACTCCTGAGCTCAAGCGATCCTCTTGCCTTGGCCTCCCAAAGTGTTGGAATTACAAGTGTGAGCCCCTGTGCCTGGCTCAGATTTGTTGTCTTTTACACACTTCCCAAAAGAACGTTCTCAAAGACATCACTTTGATACCTTAACTTCTTGTTACTTAAAAATAAAAAACAACTGTTCTCTCCCCTTAATTCTTATTTTTCATTCATATATATTCACTAATTATATATACTTATTTATTGTACAAATTTGTTTGAAATAGCCTCTAAGCAGTTTTACCTGCTTAATTATTCACTGGCTATAAGATAATTCCACCTCCTACATGTTCTTCCTAATGTGTGGCTTAATATATTAACTACCTCTACATTGATAAACAAAAATAATAATTTTAATTTTTAAAAGTTTACACTTTTTATCTTGCCAGTAATTTCATCTTTATTTTAATAGAAAACTTTCTTTTACTTATGTGAAAATGTTTCTTTATTAAACAAGTAACACATAGGTAAGTTTTTATTGTGAAAACTAATAGTTTAATCAAAACAGAAGTGTCAAAGTAAATTTCCATGTTGCCACTGCCATTTGCCTCATTCTCATAATTCTTTATTTGATAAGCTGATTTAATTCCTATTATCAGTTTGGAATACAGCTCTTTCAGACATTTTTACATACATTCATGAACATTTGCATATTTGATTTTTACTTAATGAAAATGACGCCATGCTGTATTTATTAATGTGAAACTGGATTTTTTTCTTCTCGTTAATATATCTTGGAAGTGTGCTCATTTAGATCTGTCTCATCCCACAGAACTATTGCATAATATTTTCCACTGCATATGCAACAGTATATGAACAGATCTTTATCGATGAATGCTTAAACGCTATCTTTCTATATTTATTTCCCATCTCTCTCATATGTGTAGTCTTTTAACCAAATAAAAAAGCACATTTCAAGCTTTTCTGTCTTGACTTTTCTTGCATGCCATTCTTTTCCTATTCCTTATGATGAAACTTCTACTTATCCGCCCAAATTCGGCTTAAATGTTAACTCGACATGCCATCCTCTGAACTATACTAAAAGTGATCTTCTTACACCTCTTACTCTTCCTCCTTAATTAGTCAAGGACAGAGACTGAGGTTTCAGGACTCCCACAGAGCTAAACCTAGTGCCCCACATATAGTAAACTCTGGATCTATGTATTGCCTAAATAATAAAATACTTTTTAACCTTTTATTTTCTAACATGTATACACCCATAGATTATAAGCACCTCCAAGGTTAAAAACATACCTCAACATGTTTTGAAAAATGTTCATGTGGGATGACTTGTATGCTGGTGTTATCGAAGCCATATTGTAGGCATAGATAAAGGCAGAATTATTTCCTTACCATATTGTATCAGACATGGCCTTCAGTCAATATAGGATGCTACCCCAAAGAATGGAGGATAAACTCACCTGAATCTCCAAGAGGATTCAGAATTGAGCTGGATAATCCTGGAAAAAAAGGGAAAAGAAAAGTATTGGCAGTGTTCGTTACTTTTTTGCTCCTCCAGGATCTCTTCCACCTTTTTTTTTTCTTACAGGAAAGAGAGCCCTACTTTCCAGTAGAGAACCTGTTCCAAATAGCTTGAGTGAAAATGGTTTGCCCTGTCCTGTTCCTTACATAGACCTGTGATAGCCAGAGTTCTCTATCAATCAAGGTGTTCCCTGAAACTTGAAGTTAGCATACTGGGGAGTGAGAGTTCTCTCCTCGTATGTGAGGTGTAATGATTATTTGGGCTTGAAATGGACAGAAGCCATCTTTCTTGCCATATGTAAAAATATCTGAGAATAAAGTCCAAGCAGGGGCCAAACAGCCAAAAACCAGAGGTAAAGGCAGGGCACTCTACTCATAGGGAAATATTCCAAATTCATTTTTGGGGTCCCTGAATTTAGTTACTCCTGAAGCCTGTGTATTCCTGGATAGCCTAGATACATGAGTTTACAAATTCCTTCTTTATCTAGACTGGTTGGGTTTCTGTGACCTGTAATGGAAAGAGACTCATATAATAGTATAGGAGGTTTAATTAATTTTATATATCTCTTCTGACTCTATTTTCTTCCAATCTCTTTTTAGAGGATGTATGCTGATTAAATTCTCTAAATCTAATTGTTTAATCTCTGCTTTCTAACTCCCAAAATATTCACAGCGTAGAAATGTTTAATTTTGTGAAGGTATGCCAAAAATGATCTACAAAAATGACTTAAAATTGGAGGCTGAATCTTATGCTAAAATGAATGGTAAGGAATAAAGAAACTGAGACGTGGTTTCTGCTGACCTGGTCTCTCATCAGTTTCTATTCAATTTTCAGTAGTGAGAAGTGGGGATTGGGTTTTATGTATGTTGAGTACCTACTCACTTCAATTATGCCATAACATTTACCCATGCCATGTAGATATTGTTATCCTGCTTTGAAATATTTTTTTAATAATCACAATGATTTTCAGAGTTCCATTCTTGCCCAAGGACATCTAGCTAATAGGTATAATAGATACAAGATTAAATCTCAGCTGTGTCAGTGTTCTCAGCTCTTCCTCTCCACCATTCAGGATGTTTGAATTGACTCTGTTCTCTAAGAGGACATTTCCAACTTCAGTCAACTGTCTTAAAGTGCATGGCTTGATCATTATTGTTTTGGGAAAATAAAACCAATCATTTTTTATGGAGAAGTATATTGCTGTATACAGAGTATGAGATTTAAGTTTCGAGACATGAATTCTAGTTTTATTTCCAGTAAAGATCTCTGTGATTATGAAACTCAACTTTTCTAGACCTTAGTTTCTGCATTGGTCAAAAAAAGGGCACGAGGATCAATTATCTCTCAAGTCTATTCCAGCTTTCTTCTACTGGTAAGTAGAAAATACTGCCCCAGTACCCTACACATACCCTGTTAGAAATCATATTATCACCCTGTGTTATAATTATATGCTAAATACAGTGACTTGTACAACTCTTGTACAACGTCTTGTACAACTCCCAACAACGAGTCCAGTGTCTGGCAAATCAATCACCAATAAATATTTGTTGAATACATAAATGAAGCAATTAAGTCTATGTACTCTTGTGCACAAAATATTACTTTTTAATTGTGTGTGTGTGTGTGTGTGTGTGTGTGTGTGTGTGTGTGTGTGTGTGTGCGCGCGCTTTTTACTGACCAAAGGAGTAATATTTGAAATTGAAGAAAATACCTCTAATTTTGCTGGTGAGAAGTAAAAATAGATTAATGATAGATCTGAGTATTCCTATATTCTACTTATCAGTATGAATTTTAAACAGGATGTTCCTTCAAGATAAACAAGGAGTTAAAATAAGAGCTGTATTTTAAAGCGTAAAGTGGTCATAGTAATTCAACATCCACTAAGGCTTGGTAACTGAACCATCCTGGTGAACTTTCTGTGTGAATGAGTGTTCCTTAACCAGCTTTTCCTATATTATTTCATCCCAAGAAAGAAAAGCAGTAGCTAAGCCAGAAACAAGCAAGATAACAACAACAAAAAAAAAGAGTCTGTGGCCAAACCAACAGAATTACTTTTTTTTTTTTTAATTCCTTCACTTGTGTTTGTGAAGGAGAAGTAAGTAACGTGGCTTTTTGTCTTTGTTTAGACATTGGACAATAAAAAATCACAAGAACATATATTTTTGACATACTATTTTTTGGTGTTCTTTGGAATTTGGACCCTAATTAAAAAATATGTGTTTCCTAGCCCTTCTTACTGTGAAAATCCTTGGCAATATAAACAGATGCACTGGTTGGCTTTTAATTCTGACACCAGACTGTCTGAAATAATAGCTCTAAGAAAGTGTGAATTCTTTCATTCCTCAAGCTTCAATTATAAGCACTTAATTTGTTTCTCTTTCTATTGCTGACTATAGTACCAATCTGGCTTATTTTTCACCTGGCCAAACACGATGCACTTTAGAAACCCCTTATTTTGAAAAGTTTACTCTGCCTAAGAAGACAGAAACAAGCTATAGGTTTGAGTTATTTTCATATTCCAAGGTGCATCAATGCAATTTAACAATTGGGATGTTAAATGGTGTTCTGAAAATTTCAATAATATAGGCCCATAAGATGACAGAATTAGGATCCATGATAAGCAGTTGGAAAACACTGAGTATTTCTCATAAAAGTTGATTCATCATTTGATAAATGAGCCAAGTTAATAGCTTACTAACTCATCTTGACCCTTCATAGTCAAAGATGTTCTTTATTTTTTGTGTCCACCATTTTTTACACCTCATAACCAATTCGCTGTCACAATGTTTTTAGCTTGTGATGTGACTGTGGTGATACTAACTTCTGTACTTGGATGGGGTACCACAAATGGCACATGAGCCAAAAATGTCATCAGTTCCTGGGAGTGAGGATATTTTGGAAGAATTGCTAAAACTGAATCTTCATGAATATTGTCATGTTTCCACTTTTAAAACTTCACTCTGTCGAGGTGTGTTTTTATTTTCTAGGGTCAAAAATAAAATCAAAGAAAGGCAAATTATTGCTGGAACTCATGATAAACATAATGAAGAATGTGTCATGCTTCTACAATTGTTCTCTGAGTCTATCTCTATATATGCATTTATATTTTGAGATGTTTTTACCAGTTATTTTTGTGCCTAACACTAAAGCAGATTATGTCTCATTTGTAAATATGATGGAAAGAATGATTAGGGCTACAATGTAATGAGTTATATGGTAGGAATTGTTAAGCCCTTTATTTTAATTATCTCACTTAAATCCTAACAACAATACCTTTTAGATTCTTGTTAGTATTAACTCCACATTAGAGGTGAGGAAGCTGAGACTTAGAGATGCTTGTACCTTACACAAGTTCACAGAGTCAGGAAGTGATAGAAGCAGGGACTTGAACCCAGAAAAGTCAAGTTGTTCAATCATGTCCTGCTTTCCTAGGCATTGAAATTCTTAGTGTACGTAATGTTTTATACATGTGACTCCATTTAATTCTTCCTAAAAACTATTAATGTTGCAAATATTATTTCTATTTTACAGATGGAAAAACCAAAATTCTGATAAAATGATCTGTTCAAGTTTACACAGTTCCTAAGTAGTGCAGATCGGCCTAGAACCAAGGTCTGCCTGATTACAATAAACCTATGCTCAAATGTTACCCTAAATCGCATAACAACATTTGTTTAGGGCATTAGAGTTTACTATCTAAACCTGGTAGACGGCATCAATACAATTCTTGAGTGTGCAGTGACTAAATATACTGTCTTTGATGCTGGAAAGACTTGAGAATTTCCTGGTAAGGGTAAGGGCCAATGACGTATACGGTTATTCTTTGACATATTTGTAACGGTGATGAAAAGGAGTCTTGGAGGATATGTATTTCCAGTAGCAAAAACAGAGGTTGAGAATTGAGCTTCTGGAGTATCTTCCCAGTCTCTTTTACATGACATATTATTTAATTCATTTGCCTCCAATGAAACTCCCCTGAAATTGAGTTGGCTATGATAACATCTCTTTGGAAACAGTGGGAAAAACACAGTGACATTCCTTTGATCTTTTTGCAAAAATGCATCTATGATTTTGTCCATCTAAAAACTTGTTTCCATTTGCAGAAAATTTGCTTTTGTGAAATTAGATATTTGAAAACATGAAATCTCAGTAGCCCATGGGTTCCATGACCATGCTTGGGCAATAGCTTGGACAAGCATGATGACTTCTAAGTTGTTTCCTGTTTTTCTTGGCCTCATTGCAATCCTTTCCAAAACTTCCCTCCATCTCTGCTGCATTAGTAATGCAAAATGAAATTCATTGTGCCCATTATATCTGTTAAATGGTTTCCATTTTAACTTGAGAAAAATGTATTGACGTTCATGTGTTTGGCATAGAAAATGTGTATATCTATCGAAGATAGCAACTTGTCTGTTGGAATTACAGTGCATTATGTATAATGCTGCTTTTAGCTGTGCATGTACATTTCCTGGAATCTTATTGTGTCAGAGCTTGGAAAGTTTACACAAGCATTGGTAATCTAATTTTTGTCTGGTGGGTGGCTGTGGAAATATGGAGTATTTGAAAAAGCAAATGTCTTGGCCATCTGTGCCAGGGAGTGGTTTGGTGGCAGGGGTGTCTAGTCAGGTGGGTAAAAGCATCCATAAAAAAAAAAAAAAAGGTATGAAAAAAATATTGCCCTAGGCCTAACCTAAATATTAATTTCCCAAGAGCAAGAAGATAGAAGAGTTATTGTGACATGATTTTTAGCACATTCCTGGTTATCCTTTTTAGGAGTTCTAATTGCAAGGTTGAAGAATCTGTTTTATCTTTCTCTCGCCTCTTAACGATAATCCTTCTCTAGACTATATTGTTTCTCGTGTCTTTTGTCTTCTGCAGACATGAGTCTCTGGCTCATGAGCATCTTGTTAAGGTCTGTTGAGGATTAGGGGCTGTGACACAATTTTCTTGCTGAGTCTTTTTACTGGGGATTTTTCA